GACGTCACTTGACTCACTGCAGGGATGCTCCCACACTGCCCCGTTCCCCCAGAGACCGAGGGCTTTCTGCTTGTTCCCGAAGGCGTCACCCCCGAGGGGGCACTGGGTCCAGTGGAGCGTCCAGCCTGGTTCCCCGCCAGCCCTTAGGGCTTTGGTGGGGCCTGGAACATCAACTACCCTCCCCTTAGGGGCCCGTTTGTCCTTTCCAGCCAACAGACCAAGGTCATAAGCACTTTAACTCACCTGAGGGTGTTTTCCTCACTTCAGAGGCAGTGAGGACTGGGCTTCTTCACACTCCAAGTGCCCCGGTCTGGATGCAGACAGCCTGGCTCTCCCCTCAGTCCTGCAGTCCTGGCCACACCTGCTGCTGTTCACTGAGTCTGTGCTGTGATCTCTTCCAGGACAAGAGGTGCCCTCTGCCCCCGCCCCACCACCACCAGCAGTGGCAGAGGTGGCGGACAGGCAGGTGAGCTGGGGCCTGAGACCGTGCCCGCAAATCAGTGCCCCAGAGGCCGCTGGTGACTAGAGGGACCACGGGGCAGAAGGCAGCATGGGATGGGAAGAGGAGGAAGGCTCAGGATAAGGAGATGAAAGGGGAACGGATAGCACTGTGAGGACCTCGACCATGAAACGGAAGAGAAAAGACAGTGACAGCTGGAGCGGTGTCAGCGTTAAAAGCTGAGGGCTTTTTTATTTAATTTTATTAATTACCATTACATATAGTGATATATTTTTATTTGATTAAAGATTATGTGCCACGTCATATAACAGGATATAGTATGTTATTATTTATTAAATAATACATAATAGTAGATATACTAGCATATTATGTTCTGTTTATTTATAAGCAGATAGTATATAATACATACGTAGGTATTTATATACATAATATATAATTCATACATCTATATAATATATAACACATAACAATGTAGGATTATAATTAATATATTTTATAACAAGATTACACAACAATAATGATGTAATATTACCCATTGTATGTCTTGGTTCATGACACATTCTCATCTTAGGTGACTGTCAGAGGTATTTATGTATTAAAATTAATATTATAAGAGACAGTTGTGAACCTATCACCCAGCATCAGAACAGGACTATTGACAGTGACATACTGTGTCCTATCCTGCACTTGGCCTCTTCTCATAGGAAGTAACCAGCATCCTGAATCTTGGCTTACCCTTGCCTTGTGTTACTTTCACACACACAACATTTAAGATCAGTTAAAACAAATGAACTGCAGGTACATGCACCGAAATGGATGAATCATACACTCTATGTTAAATTGAAAAAGTAAGCCCTAGAAGGTGGCCTATAGTGTGCTATGCTTTTAACTGTGTATATATATGTTAACTAAACTCACTAAATTAAGAACAACTACAGCTAGAGTCCAGGTGAGAGAAGGACAGATAAAAGGTGAGGTGAGCAGATTTGCTGCAGGTGAACGAGTTCCTTTCCAGTAACATGTCATTCTCTCCGAAGCAGGAGGCAAGGCCATCTGCTGGGAGTCAGGGAAGAGACAGAGGGAAGCTTAGACGTGTGCAGAGAGCAG